GATACTTTAGGACATGTGTTGCTAATGGATGCACAAAATAATCAAGATAAAGTGCAGATGCTCACAGGCACTGTCCAAAGCTATGGCGGCTTGACGCTGAGATGCTGAGTGTGGTTCTCAAGGAAGGAGCCTGGTGGGGCCACTCTCGCTGCTCAGGGTGTGGCTGCCTCTGCGATCTCTCCCTGCAAATCAAACAAATGCTGACCACTGTTTTCACTTTTTGCCTTTTTTTCGTTAAAGTGAAAATCTTCTCTAGATTTCTTTCGGTTAGTGGAAACAGGTATGAATGAAGGTCTTTTACAAAAGTAAGGTGGTGTAATGCAAACTTTCAAAAAACAGGATATCTGTAGTTTTATGCTGCCATGTCAATTATTCTGTAAAAAAATATATTAAAAATAAACTAAAATATGTGTTTTTTCTTATATGAGTCTGCAAGATCTTGGTGTCATTCTATTAACATTCAACTCAAGCTTATATTAAGAAGAAAACAGTTTTCTATGGTCCTTAAATATGTTTCCCTAGCATTTTATATAATATACAATGTGAAGGAAAGGTTTCTAAATGAATATGATATGTATGGTATTACATAAGATTGGGGAAATAAGAGAACTCTTCAAGCTGGAGTTCTAAGAGACAGAAGCAATCAGTACAGATATTTTTGAAAGATGACTTCAATAAATTTATTTCTAATGGATCATTAAGTGCAAAACACTGCTTTTTATTCTATTTGGTCATCTCATTAGTTTATCACAGCTGAAAAAACTTCAATGCATAAGTTATTCTCCCAGTGGCCAGAGAAACTTCAGCTTTCATATCTCAGAACATAAATATTACAATATTTTTCTTTACTCCATAATTTAAGAAAGCAATAAAGACCTAGATTAGACAATTCTTGTCAGCAGAGAAACATCTGTTCTAAAAAACATTGGCTGGGGCCTTTGGTTCTTAAGTAAGTCATTAACTAAACAAATTTATCTACTGATTATGATTCCCTAAACTCCCTGTGCAACGTGCCTGGTAGTGTGCTAAGAAAATAATAAGTAATTTCTCAATTGGACTTGTCATTTTGATAGCATAGATTTCTAGCCCCATAATAAAGAAACACTAGGGAGTAGAACCGGTTACCAATTTGTTTTAATAACTAAAAAAATTAGAAGAAAATTTTCTAAGGATCCTAAATTTAATGTTTATGAACTTTGACTAAGAGGCACATCAATTATATCCTGAGAATGATTCACGAGTATTTTTGACTCCTTTTTACATCACCACTTTTGCCTCATCATTGTGATTCAACCACAAGTTTCAACGTCTTCTACTGTAGAGAGAAGCACAGTCTAACAGAACTTGCTATGATTATGGAAATGTTCTTTATTTACATTGTCCAATACAGTAGCCACCAGCCACATATGGACAATGAATCCTCAAGATCAGGATTGAAAAGAATCAACTAGGTATGGCAATTCAGGGGTCATTCTTAATATTTGGCAGAGAAATTCTATGGAGTCAATGGGGGTAGAAGCTTATTGTGGTGGGTTGAGGAATAAACGGGAGGTGAGGAAGTAGAAATGACATGTGTAGTGGGGTAATGAGGAGATAGTGCAGCAGGGGATTAAACAAAAGATGGACACAATGGAGCTCTACTCCAAACACCATTGATCTGAAAGTCATGTGAAAAATGGATGGAGGAGGGAGAAAGCTGGAGCTTATGTTCACCTTTTATTGAGGGAAAAAAAAGGTGTTAAACTGAGATTTTCTAACATGTAGTAAGGCAGGTGATAATGTGAGAATAAATTCCAGCTCCTTAGGAAAAATGGAAATGTTTATTGTCCCTGATGGTGCAACCGTTAACCAAGTCACATGAAATGGTTTAGTTGTAAGACGTGAAACATTTGATTTTTCTCTGAAAAGCTGTAAGAATCCATACGCTACAAAAATGAGGTGTTCTATTATTTATTTTAATAGGACATTGTATAAGTTCCTAGTACTGAGATGAATTTGTCCAAAAGAAAAAAAAAAAAAAAAGCTGTGCATTCTTGCCCTTCACTATAATCACTTCTTAAAGCTAACTTTAGGCTACACGTTTTAAAACAATAAAGTATAATTTCAAATTATACAATCTATATTTATATATAATGATGCTAACCAAAAGTTGGACATGACTGAAATCATAGCATTTTAGAACTAGAGGGATGTTCGTTAAACTGTTTCATTTTATGGGTGAGGACCAGAGGCCTAGAAATAATATATGACTTAGCCAGGTTTACCCAGATAAGACTCAGAACCATGTCTTTAGATCCAAAGGCTGGTGCTGTTTTGAAAAAATCCTGGCTAGATGATGCACCACGATATTTTTGGTGTTCCTATATATTACAATAAGAGAAAACAAAATTTCTAACAGCATGCCTCACTGGGGACAGTGAATCCTTTTCTTTACATTTCTACAATTAGTACCACTCCCCCTTGGGCACATTCTTGCCATTTGCATTGTACCTCCCATAATTTTCACTCATTTTTCAAAAGTGCTTGGTAATTATCATGTACGCTAGGAAATCCGACCCAAGGAAAAGATGTCTGACTTCCTTACAAAACTTCAGAAAGTTTTCTTTCTTACTGAAGACAGAGAAGATGGTATATTGGTAGCTTAGAAGAAGAAAGTGCCCTTTACAATTTCAATTCTTCAAATCTTAAATTTCAATTCTTCAAATTCTTAAATTTCAGTATTTAAACACTATAATCAAGTTTTCAGGATTACCTATACATGTGAGCTCATTCAAACTATAGGATCCTGGTGTGTTTTGTGTTTGTACAAAGAAATCAGGTTCTATTTTTATGTATGAGCTAAAGTCGTAGGCTGTTAATTTAGTCCATGGAAAACATGGTAGTGGTCTAAAACATAGAGGGTCAAAGGTTTCTTGTTTTTATTTTTGTTTTAAGCGCCGGGTAACTCCTTCTGGAAAACCCTCAAAGAGTAATAGTCAAATGTGAATTGTATCATACATCGCGCTCGTGACACACTAGTTTATTTCTGAAAGTAATAATGCTTTTTCAAAATGAAGTCATTTATATTCTTAGCCATGCTCTATTGTGTGCACTGAGTAATTTCTTGAAAGCAATGTTTCCTATGGCATATTGCCAAGACTGGCTTTATTTGTTTTTCATTAGGCTTTTCATTATCATGCTGCTATATACCTGGATTGTTCTGCCTCCTCCAAGAATGCCAGGGTAGCTTAAGCATAGGAATGAGACTATGAGCAGGTGGAATGTTTTTGTCCAGTGAATGCCCATCTTAAATCTCTAGCTGTGATACCATTCCGATGGCTTTAAGCTTTCTAAGAACAGTCATTTATTCAGTTATATAATATAGTCTGATATTAAATTATTTACATCTATCTACTCTGTCCCTTTCCAGGAAAAGACAGTAGTCTCACTTTGCACCACATTAGATTGGCTCCTTCTCCTTGATTATCTCAAGAAAAGGCATCATGAAACGCCCCTCTTGCTCAAGCCTGGAACCAACATATATTCTACATTTCTTCATCATTCCACGCATTCAATTGCCAAATCAAACTTCCTGAGTATTCAAATCCTCTCACTTCTTTCTGTCTCCCATGATCACTCTTTGGTCTAATCCCACACCGTCTCTAGAACAATTGCAGTGGTCTCCTGATGGTCTTCATGCCCTTTCCAATTCATTCTCTTCTGCCTTAAATGTTTCTCAGTACCATAAATTGCTCTCCATACATAGGTATTCTCAAATGTCTACTCGTATTTTTGTTACACATTAAGAGGACAGATGTTACACATTAAGAGGACAAATGTTACACATTTGTGGACAGTTTGATTTGTCCACAAAAGTTGGGTCTGAATTCTTGAACTTCTCTGTAGACTCCTCAATTTCAAGGGAAACTCTAGCTTACAAACCCCAAAAGATAAAAATTTATGGACAAAATAAGCATTGTATAAATTTCTGTATATTACTCAGAGGTCTAAAAAAAATTCATTGAAATCGGAAAATTTCAGGACTAGACCGATCCTTGGAGATAGTGTGGCTCAACTTCATTATTTACTAGAAACTGAGGCCCAGCCACAGAAACCAAATTGATCTTCTAAGTTTGGAATCTCATCATATAATTCCTTTTCTTAAAATCTGCCCATGGTTTTCCATTGTGGGCAGGGTGAAATCTAAATTCCTCAGCGTGGCATACAATGTCTATAATCTGGACTCTGCTTACCTTTTGCCCCTCTCTCCAACTTATCCCAGAACTCGATGCTTCTGAATACACTATGTTCTTTCTTACCCATAGGACATTACACATAATTTCTCCTTTGTCCTGCCTCTTTTGAATACTAAATCTTAACTATCTTTCAGATATCCAATTAGCATCATCTCCTCTGAAAACATATCCTCGATCCCCTCTAGGCTCTCAAGCATGTGTCAACATCATTTTAACTGCCTTTGAACAATCCGTTTTTATCACTGGACTAGAATGAATAAAGACCATTGTAAACAGGGACCTACATCTTATTTACTGTTCTATTTCCACATCTTGACCAGGTGTCTGGTATTCATCATTTTAAGATTAATTCTCATTTTTAACCTGTCTAATATGCTCAATTTTTTCCATCTTTATTTTCAGGGGAAGGGGTGGGGGACTGATTCATTCACATCAACAAATGGCTCACTGATAGTTCTAAATGGCGAGTCTCCCTGGGAGCATTTACATTTTTTAGAGGAACAGAGTTTTAAATCACCAGAATGAATCTCCAATGCAGATATATCAACCAGAGATGGTAAGCCATGATAGTATTTGTGAAGGGAAGGAATATTTCCCAGAACTTTCAACTCAGTCACATAGGTGACTCCTCACAGAAGAATGACTCTGCTTTTGTTTATAAAACTCAGATCACTTGTTGGTTACTTGTCTCCGTATTAAACAAATTATTATTACCCATAGTAAAAATGCCTGATTTAACTTATAACATTTCTGGTTTTATTTCAGGGAAGCAATGTTATGGAGGATCAGGATTTATTGGAAATTGGAATTCTTAATTCTGGGCACAGACAAAGAATTCTACAGGCAATCCAACTCCTTCCAAAGGTAAACAATACTTTATTACCCTCACCCTGAGTACAGCCCCAGTGGTTTAAGTACAGCTGTGTGAGGGGTGTTAGTATTTAAGACAACATTTCTTAATGATGCAGCTCCCAAAAGCAGGTCTTTTTAGGTTCAACTAAACAGTCCAGACTCACAAGACTGCTATGGACCATACTTGGCTTTAGATTTACCTAAACGGATGCAATCCAAGAAACGGCACTCTGAGTTTCTCTTCAGAGGGAGTCCTTATATCAGTACAGACATCACTCCGGGCCCCTCAGGTGATGGCTCAAGTGCAAAAAGATAAATCAGTATTGGGTAGGCACAGAAATATTCCCGAATTAGAAACCTCATGCCCCATAAGAGGCAATATATGTTGTAACAACTCCAAAGGCTTAGCCTCCAGGGACAAAGGACCTGCCTAATTATGAATCATCATGTGGGAAAGTCCAAAGTATTGCATCCCCACCAGGTATTTATAGTTCATGTATAAATCCTCGCAGTCCAGATGCAATTTGCCAACCAGGCATCATTTTAACTGCAAGGAGTATGTTACCTAGCAACAAAGTTGACCTTCTGTTTCCAGATAAGGTTTCATAGGAGCCTGAAGCAAGAGGTAGGATCTAAGCACCGGTCTTCAAGATGCGTAGGATTTTAATTGGTAAGGAAAGGGAAAGGCATTTCAGGGCCAACAGGAATCGTATAAGTATAGGTATAGTCCAGGCAACAAATTGCCAGAAGTATTAGAAAAACAGTGATACAGTGTGATTTAAAATCCAATGGGATTTGCACAACAATGTGAATGTACTTAATGCCACCAAACTGTACACTTAAAAATGGTTAAGGTGGTAAATTTTATGTTTTATTTCAATACAATTTGAAAACTAATTTTTTTAAGAAGAAGAAAAACATCCAATTGTGATTAAAACAGTTGGCGAGTCAAGTCAGAGGCAAAGCAGAAAGAGTAGGTTAGATCAGATGATGTCAGGCTAAGGAATTTGAAATTTATTCTGTAAGCACTGGGGAACAGACATGACTAGAATTCTTTAGGTCAATTAATTCCGGAGGCAGTGGACAGTAAGAATGAGAAGGAATGAAAGTTGATCTTGGATCATCCAGATGGGAGAAGAATCAGAGGGGCAAGATTTGAGGCAGGGTAACAGATGAACAGTATTAGATGCATCTGGGTATATGAGTTTATCCTGTTTTATATTTTCTTCTGCTATAATTTTTCATGCTTAGAATGGGAAAGATAAATATTAACCACTGTTTCTAAGGAAGTGATCTGGTAAAATTTGCCAACTGACAGTAAGCTGAGTTTATACTGATAGAAATAACACTTTTGCAAATTCAAGGAGAGTCAGGCATACAAAGGAGTTTAATTTTCTACAGTAAAAGGAAAAGCATCTGCAGAACTAATTCTAAAAGTAATCCTGATAAGTGTATTGTTTACCTCACTACTTTTGTTTCTTTACTTAAAATATTATTTCCTCAGCAAGTTTTCTCCTCATTGTCAGCACGGGCCTCTGCACCGCTATATCCCCAACACCTAGCCTGGTGCCGGACCATGGTTGGCCCGCAATGAATAAATGAATGACTCCTCCCTTGTCACAATGCTGCCTATCATTTGACATTCAGCTCAAATACTTCCATACCACTTCCTTTGTGAAACTTCCACTGAAATGGAGCCACTTCTAAACACCCTGGTAATTATTACTCTCGTCCAAACCAACAACTTTGGACTGGACTATGATAGATTCTAATCTGTCATCTCTAAGTTATCCACTTGAGTCGATTTTCCCTTGGTCCTCCCTGGCCTGGGCGATTCCTAGATGCCTAATCTCTGTCCTAGTTACCTCTCTTATCACTTTACAGTTGAATTTCCACATAGCATCAAGAACAATCCTTCTAAAATGCAAATCAGATCATGCCACATGCTACGCCCTGCTTGAAATCTCCAGTGGATTCTCTTCTCACTTAGAATAAAATCTTTATCATGGTTTACAAAAGTCAATAGGACCTGGCCCCTTCCCACCTCTGTGACCTCTTCTCTTACTCTCCCTTCTCTGCACTCTAGTCACATGCTTTCTTTCTATTCCAGACCATGGCAGGCTCATTTTTGCCTCAAAGTCTTCCCATATTGGTCTCTCTGCCTGTAAAACCTTTTCCTCAGAACTTCATTTGCTTGCTTCTATACATCGTCAAATCTCCACTCAGGTGTCACCACTGCACAGAGGCATTCACATTCTGAAAGTCACCATCCTTGCCTACTATCACTGTCCTTTGTATTGTTCTGCTTTAGTTTGTTCTTCATGGCACTTATGGCTACCTGAAGTCGTATTATTTATTTGTTTGTTTTCTTTCTTAGTTTCCATTTTTCCCCAAGGATGCAAGGTCCATGAGTCAAAGACCTTGACTATCTTATTTCCTTCTATATACCCATCCCCTAGAATAGTCCCTGGCATACAGTAAGTGGTCAAAAATATTTGTGGAATTAAAGAATATACTGCTCTCTCTTTCCTTGGAGATTCGATGGTCCTATGCTTGTTCTATCTGAAGGTACTGATAACATTCTACCACTTCTATGTTTTAAGCATCCTGAGGGCAGAAACAATGTCATATTCATCCTTGAATTTACCACTGTATTTAGTCCAAGACATACACATTAAAAGAATGAAAGAATGAGTGGTTGAATGAATGAATATTTTCCTCACATGTTATTCAAATATAATTTTTTACATCAAAGAGTGCCTCAATTTTAAGATAGCTATAATCCTGTCCATGCCATTTGATAATGAGAAACAAAGAACTCGAACCCAGAATTTTTGGAGACTAAATGGAATGTTTACTTTTAAGACAGAATATCATTCCCATTAGAGAAAAGAAATATAATAGAAACAATACAAAATTAAGCTTCTATCAAGAGGCAGATGCAAAGTGCTTACTATGCACCCAAATGAATAGAGCATATACAAAAACATCCAAACACGTGTTCAGCAGCACAAACAAAACGTAATAATGCTACAAATTGATGCTTTGCCTTCTTAGGTAATGAGCCCAATCTTCAGATGGTTAATAGTGTAGTTTTACTGCCAGCACATTCATTTGCATTCACTCTAACTTCGCACTGCCAGGAAATGGACAAAATGTCTCTGCATTTTGTTTATGCAATTTTGGTCTTCAGAATATTTGTGTTCTTCATCTGTCATGAAAAATGTTCCATGATTGCTACCTGAGATCCTTTAATTAACATATTGTGTTTTGAAATTGGGGAGATTGTTTCTAAACAGAGAAAAGGTGGTTTGCTAAGTGCAATCTTGATCTGTTAGCACACTTCAAAGCATGTTTTTCATGCTTTATTTGTATTTGTTATTTCAAATTTCAAAGACAAAAGTTTATTCCTGTTGTTAGTAAGAATGTTTTTTTGGTAATATGCCCTTTTTAATGTTGAAATATTCACCACTGCAAAGGTCCGCATATTTTCAAGTACACTCGACATAACAAAGACATAGCAAACATTTGATATATTAGAATAGTAGTCACAGTAACTCTCTCACCTCTGTCCATCCGTTCCCCCTGTCTTTTGCAATGCTGGACCTTCAGTACAAAACTTAGTATCAATTTCCACCCAGTATCCACTTCCTTCACCAACCCAACTCAGTCTTTTCTTAGGTCTGAAAGTTTCCCTGGACTTCTGAAGATCAAATTTCACCCTTCTCGCTTTTTTAAGAAAAGAAACACACCAAAATCTCCATAAGAAGATGGCTTATGTTTTACTCTCTCAGAAAGTGTAAGCATAGTGGGCTTTTTCTGTCCCTTAGACACAGGGAAAGTGTCTGATTACTTACTTGCAGCAAATCATTTACCTTTATCCAGATAAGAATTCTACGTGGCCAAGTCTTTGGATAATCCACTAAAATCCTTTTAAAAGGGCGTAATCTCTTTTGTCCTCTGACAATAGAACAACTGGAAGTCATAAATTCAAAGGATTTTTATTTAAAATTTGTAGGACTTCATGTCAAGGCCCATATTTTTCTGCTCTCTTAATATCTCTCATCCTGAATCAAAAATGTATTTCAGCACATTAGCAATTTTTGAATCACATGCCCACTTCGTTTTTCAATATTTCCTTTTCTAATATTTTCCTGTTCTATAATATTTTTTGGAATTACTTAATAGCTGTCTAAACACTTATTAGCAAGTAGTTGTCTACTTTGCCATCCCCTTTTCTTTGCTTCCACTCATCCTTAAACCTACTTGGGCCTAACTAGTTCCTCTGCTGCCACCCCACACCACCAGTGCTAAGGACACCAGTGACCAGCAGAGCGGAAATTCCATAAGCCCCTTTTCACTTCCACCTGACTTTGACTCCAGTCAGTTCTGATACACAGTTTTAATTATTGTTTTACTGAATGGCACTGAACATTTCTGATTGAATTAAATTAACCCCTCCCTCATCCTCAGTTTGAGATATTAGTTTAAAAATAAATAAAACAGAGATATCTGTTATTCCAATAGAAAAGCAAGATTCTGTGTTAGTTGTCTATTGCTCTATGACAAGGTACGCCCAACTCTTAGTGGCATATAACAACAACATTTGTTATCTCACAGTTTCTGGAATCCAGGTGCAGCTTAGCTGGGTCCTCTGACTCTGGGTCTCTCACAGGGCTATAGTCACCTCAAGACTCAATTGGGAAGGGTCCACTTCCTAGGTCACTCATGTGGATTGACCTAGGCAGGATTCTGTTCCTTGGGAGTTCTTGGACTGAGGCCTCAGTGCCTCAGATGCTGTTGGCTGAAGGCCTCCCTCAGTTCCTTGTCATGTGGGTTCCTGTAAAGCATCTCACCACAGTCATCTGGCTTCAATAGCACCAGCAAGTAAGAGGAAAAAAAAGTGCCGGGAAGATGGAAGTCACAGACTTTTATAATATCCCTTCTTCTCTTTTTTCTTCCCATTTTCATTAGAAATAATTGACATACATCACTGTATAAGCTTAACGCAT